AAACTCAAAAATTTATTTCAATTTATAAGTTTTGTACAAATGTAAAAGCATTGATAGAAAAGATAAATTATTTCTATTTTATTTTTTAATATTTAAAAATTATAACAATTAAATAATAATATTAATAAACTTAATAGAATTAATTAACAACAAATACAAATAATTTGCATTAATTTTTTCAAAATTTTAAATTACTACTTCTAAATTAATTAATTACATTTTTAAATAATATACATAATTTTATTACTTTTAGATAAAATATTTTAAACGAGTCATAATTTCATAAGCTCATAGGCCAGTGAATGAAAAAAAGTTTTGGAACCTAAATTCCAATATGATCTATAATTTATAAACTAAAATAGTAATTTCATTAAAAATTAAATTTTTATTTATACATGTACGTATCATAGTCAAACTAATTTTTTATTAATATGAATATAATATATAAGTTTTGGAAAAGTTAATCATTACTATGTACATAATTACAATAATATATAATAAAATAAAATAAAAAACACAATATTTAACGTGATTCGGCAAATGTACTTATATTTACAGGTAGTACCGTAAAAAAAAATTTGTACTATGATCAACTGATAGTACATCACCAATAGAATTGTTTTACCATCACAAAACTCTTCAAAATATATATAAAATATTTTTTATAATAAATATAAAATATTCTCTCATGATAAATACATGTTTCTCATGATAAATATAAAATATCTCACATAATATATATAAGATATCCCTATAATCAAATTACATCAATAAATTTTCTCATTTGCTTAAATTTTCTTCATCAACAAAGAAAGTAACCGTCTTATCACATTGTCTTGCCAAATTGTCCTTACATGGGCATTAATGAGTATTATATATTCTAATTAAGTTTAGATCGTGCCTAAATTGGATACCTAATCCCCGAATGAAATGATATTTGCTATCAAGTTCTTCACACACAGCACTAATCCTCTTATATGTGTCTGAACTACATGGTTCCTAGAAATCAATTATCATTGCAACTAACAAGGTATATGTAACTAAATTCTCATTTATTTGTGGTAGTCTAATATGTCTTATCTTATTACCCGTTACAATATTATATGGTTGATGTTGATTAGGTACGTCATCACCTTTTTAATTAAGAACTGCGTTTCATGTCTTGGAATTATTGTACTGAACTTCTAGTTCTATTTATTCTTTAACACTGTGACCTAAATTAATATTGTTGTCTTTTTTCTTCTAATTGCTTAATGAAGCATATTCATTAAATATTATAGCTTATGCTGAAAAATCAACCCTGGGGA